TGAGGACTTCGCCTCGGGGGAAGCTGGGCCCGCGTCCAGCTCTGCCTTCCCTCCTCTATACATTAATTTCGCATGCATATGGAGCTGAAAGCTCTTCCAATCACCTCTGCAAATATTAATTAATCCTCGCAGCATCCCGAGGACCATTATTCACTCCTATTAAGTAAATATTATTAAACCCCTTTATGAGAGGTGAAGCGCCTTTTCCAGGGCTGTGCAGGGGTGCACAGACTCTGCCTGGCCCTGAGCGGTGCCCCTGCCCCTGCTGCCCCCAAGGACTGGGGACCCCCACCACCCCACAGCACCCCCGAGCCTTTGGGGGACCACCCTGAGATGCACCAGCACCCTTGGGGACCCACTTTGGGCCCCTGCTAGGGGGGCTGCTTCCCCCCACTGCTCCCCGTTTTGGCTCACAGGCAGCAGCGGGGATCCCCACCACGGCACTGGGGCCTGACTTACTCTGGAGGAGCCAATCGATGAATGCGCTTGGGAACGGGGAATTCTGCAAAAAAAACGAGGAGACATTGAAATGTGGGACTTCAGGGGGGCAGATTGGGGGGTCCAGGGTGGGGACATGGCCATACCTTTAAATCCAGCTCCACAAACTGCCCGGACGTCACCGGCAAATGGGCGAGCGCTGAGTGGATTTTCCCCAGGAGCCCAAAGGAGAGGACGCCTGGGGAGGGGGAGAGGCCTCAGGGCTGGGCAGAGCAAAGCCCCCACACAGGGGCAGGAAAACCCCACATTTCCCTGTGGGTCTGCCCCGGGTTCATCACAGGGGAAGTGGTTGGGGTCCATGTGGGACCCCCAAGTGACCAGAGCTGGGGGGACACAACCCCCTGGCTCTGTGGGGCTGCAACCGAGGGTCTCGGCCGCACCTCAGGTTTGGAAAACAGTGGGAGCAATGGGGTGGTGATGCCCTCACCCACGGCACCGGCTCTGCCGGGGACCACAAAATTCAGGTATGGCTCCAAAAATGAATGTAGAAAAGTCACCAACTTACGGTTGAGGAACTGGAGCTTGATGTTGATGATGCTGACCCAGATATTCACTATTGGGCAAAGCTGCAATGGTAACAAACAGCACGAGGTTGGTGGGGATATGGGGGGATAACCCCCCCCAACATTGCTTGAGTTTCGCAGGCTTTACATCAAGGTGGAGCAATCAGCGCCCGGAGCACGGCTTCCTCCATGGAGAAAGGGCAATATCAACTGCTCAGCCCCCTCCTCAGAACAGCTCCGGTTCTGCTTAACGGAATAAAGCATTTTCTAACCAGCACCTTGTTCCCTAAGTGGGGCCGTCACTGCTGCTCACTGCAGCGCCGCGGCACCAGGAGGCGCCTGGGAAAGCAATTGCTCACAAATTATCCCGTAACATTGCATGATGGGGGCTGAATTACCGCTAACAAATGAAGCCTGACTGCCAGAAAGATCAAGGGACCCTGCAGAATTCACTCAGGGGGTGCGTGCCTGTGCATCCACACACATATATTTTATATATATCTTCATATCTTTTTAATAGAATATGTATTAATATCAATATATAGATATATTTTTTATACGTGAATCTGCTCTGCAATTACAGCAAGGGCACTAATTGCAGTGCAGTGCAGCCCTTGCAGCTCAGGGCTGTTGGGCACTCACCACCGCAGGTACAAGGGACTGCAGGGAGGAGTTCAGCACCCGGCTCACCAGGTTGGTCAGGAGGCTGGAAAGGGGAAAAAAGGACAAAAAAATGACCACGGGGGTTGACAAAAACCCAGGCTCAGCATCCAGACTGGTTGTTAATGCGTGAATCTGGATTGTTAATGTGTGAATCTGGGTTGTTAATGCGTGAATCTGCACCCAGGTTTGAGACTGAAGCTTTGCAAATGCACAAAGAGCCGATCCAGGGCTCGTCCTGCCTGGTATTTTGACTGTTTCCATGTGCAGATGTCAATGTCCTGACTCCTTGCAGGTTTCTCAAATATAAAGTTGGCTTTTCCACGAGGAAACTGCCCGTGTCCCACGCTCACCCCCGCCGCAGGTTGACCCTGAAGCCACCCAGGAGGTTGCTGCAGTCCTTGATGGCCAACTTGAGGTCTCCGGGGCTGTCCTGCGTCAGCGCGATGTGGGACGTCACGTTCGTCTCCACCGAGGAGCCGCTCAGAAAGTGGAAAAGCCTGGAAAAAGGAGGGTGATGGAGGAGACCAAAGCACAGAGGAGAGCGGTGCCTGTGGCTGGGCTTGGGCTCTGCTGGGACAATGCAGGACGATGTCCCCGGGACAGGCACAGAGCCCCTTGGTGAGTGTTTGGGGACGTTTCTGCAGTGCCTGGGAACATCCCGGTGTCCCCCAGCACCCCCATGGCTCAGCCCTGCTCACCCCGGCAAGCGCAGCACCAGCTTGGAGTAGAGGTTCAGCACCAGCTGCCCCCCACGCAGGATCTGCCACGACACACGAACGTTCTCCAGATTCAGCACCTTCAACCTGGGGTTCACAAGAAGAAAACCCTCCTTGAGGTGGCAGGAGCAGACCCTGCACCCCCACATCCTCTCCATCCTTTGACCTGTTACCCCATGTGGGTGTTCTCAGTTAAAGTGAAGGTGGGGAAGGGCCAACCCCCTCCCCAAGAAGGCCCAATTTCAAGGCAAGCTCAGGCTGCTCAGGGCTGTGTCCCCTGAATCTCAACCATCTCCAAAGGTGAAGATTCCCCCACCTCTCGGGGTGCCCATTGCGGTGTCACATCCCCGTCATGGGCAAGACTTCTCCCACCTCGGGTTGAATTTCACCCATTGCAGCCTCACGTGAGGAGCCCAGGACCCGTCCCCTGCAGCATCCCTTTAGGGCACCCCTCCTCTGGACCTTGCTGCCCCGCAGTGAGCACCACCGCGGGGTCTCTGCTCCGACTCACCAGTCAAAGCGCGACGACGTCCCGGGGAACCCCCCCAGCAGGGCTCCTCCACCCAGGAGACCACTGAGACCGAGCAGGCTCCCATTGCCCAAGAGGCCTTGGCCCAGCAGCCCTGTGCCGAGCAGACCGTTGTCCCCAAGGAGGCCATTGCTGAGGAGGCCATTGCCGAGGCCTTCTCCACCAAGGATGCCTGTGCCGAGCAGGCCTTTCTGTCCAAGAAGACTGTTATTGCCGAGGAGGCCATCGCCGAGGAGGCCATTGCCAAGGAGGCCATTCCCAGGGAGGCCATCGCCGAGGAGGCCATTGCCAAGGAGGCCATTCCCAGGGAGGCCATTGCCGAGGAGGCTGTTCCCAGGGAGGCCATTGCCGAGGCCTTCTCCACCAAGGAGGCCTGTGCCGAGCAGGCCGCCGCCGCTGGACTGTCCTCCTGCAACAGCCAGACCTCCATTAGCGCTCTGGTTTTCAGTGCCAGGAAATTCCCTTCCTCACCACACCAGTGGCTCTTCCTCACCCAGGAGCCCTGTGCCGAGGAGCCCAGATCCGCCGGATTCTTTTCCTGCCTCAGGGGAACCTCCGCTTTCCTGGCCGCTGGGACCTCCGCTGCCCAGGAGGCCGGTCCCAAGCAGGCCCCCCTCGCCGAGCAGGCCTGTGCCGAGCAAGCCTCCTTTTTGGCTGACGGGACCTTCACTGCCGAGAAGACCGGTGCCAAGCAGACCTGCATCAAGAAAGACCCTAAAATTACTTAAGAGAGGTTGGTTCAGCTCCATTAGGTTGATGCACTCATGGGGATCCCTGAGCACCCTTGAGCAAATTTGGACTCCCCATGGAGCCGAGCCTGCCATGGAGCAGGTGTCTGATGAGCAGATGGGTGCTCCATGAGCCCAACATGGCACAGGACATGAAAAGGTCTGGGAAACACGGAAAACCTCTCAACTCACCGCCTTTGGGTTGTGCTGGGCTCAGCCCAAGGACGTTGCCCAGGCTGAGGAAGCCCTGGGAGGTGGGCAGGAGCCCCCCGAGAAGGACGAGGCACAGCAAGGGCAGCATCTCCTGAGCTGGCACCTGCAGAGAGACCCACATCAGCTCAAGCTCCCGTCCCACCACGGCCACTGGCCCAGCTCCCCACGCTTCATGTGTGCCACCCTAGAGCTGTGAGACAGGTCCCCTCTGGACACACAGCCTCCAGAAGCGTCCTCCATCCCCAGGGGACCAGCACGGACCCACAGCACCATTTTCCCACCCAAGAAAAGTCAAACAACTTCTGGTTATCGGAGAAAAACTGAAACGCGGTGCAGCTCCTCTAGAATCATCGGTGTCTCCGTGCCTGGCTGGGCGCTGACCTCGCAGGGAGAAAACGCCATTTTAAAGAGAGCAAAAGGGATGGAGACGAGGTGGGATGACCTTGCGCCGAGCAAGACGGATGGCTCCTGGCCGTGCAGAAATGGCCCTGAGAGAACGCGCCATAAAAAATGGTGTGCGTCAGCGCCGCGTCCTTCCCCTGCCGTGAAGAGCACCCGCGGCATCCGAGCTCAGAGCGCAGCCAAAACCAGGCTCATTTGGCTGTGGGCAGCTTGTTTGCTTTTCTCATCTCGCCCCATTCGGGCCATGAGAAGAGGCCTCTTCCCCTGTGGTTGACCTGCACCTTCAAGGACCTGGCGGTCCTGCAAGAGCCCTGGGGCTGTCCCAGCGCCGTGGAGTGTTTGTGTGTGCACAAAAAGGCCTTTGCAGAGAAGGGCAGGGCAGGGAGGCACCGCTGGGGCACTCATGGGTCCCGGTGCAAGGCAGCACCCACCCATATCCGCACCAGCCACCCCGGATCGTTTCTTCTCCAAAAAAACAACATAAGGGCTGCAGATCTGAGGTTCAGTACCAGGAAATAACGTTATTTAGGTCAAGCAAGCAACTTCTTTATCTGTTCCAAATACTTTAAAAGGAAAAAAAAGCCCTCTATGACAGTTCCTGGCACAATTAAATTAGACTTTAATGCAGTAGCCTGTCTTTCACATTCTGCCTTTGATCAGCACGTAATGATGCACGGCTCCTGGAGCTGTGATTATTGAACGGGAGAGAGAGCGGCAGAGGCTGGAGCAGCTCCCGTGGAAAGTGGTGTCAAATGAAATCAGTGGATTTGTTGGAGGGGCGCCGCCAGACGTGCGCGGCATCCTAAAAGGACGCCAAAACGGCTCTTGGGTGTCTCCGAAGAGCTCTTGGAGAGGAGACGTGACAAAGCAGAGCTCTCTGCGGCTCTTAGCGGTGTCTATGGGGCTGGTACCTCCTTGGGCACACGCATTTCTGTGAGATGAGCACCTCGTACATGCAAAAATGCCTGTTTTGCTCTGCAGATGAGCACTTATTTTGTACCAGCTGAGAGGAGAGCTGCTCAGCTGAAAATCCCTCCGAATTCTGGTCACCAAGATCTTGGAAAAAACCACAAACCCCATGTCTTTTCTGCTAGCTTAGTCATTATAACAGATGTAACAACAGCAAAAATAAACGTGGGGTCTGGCAAGCAAGAGCTCTGCGAGCTTTAAAAATTAATTTTCATAAATGATTAAATGCTGCTACAGAAATCAAAGGGAAGCATCATTAAAATTCTTGCTTCTACAGCCGAGTTACGCTTTGCTGCAGGTCATCTCATGGGGACAGGAACTCTGTGGCCACGGAGCCTTATAGCCACTTACCTGGGTCTTAATGCCACTTACCTGGTTCTATAATGCCACTTACCTGGAGCCCTGGGTGTCGCGGTGCCACTGCCCACGATGCTGGGAGCCGCTTTTATAAACCCCAGCTGCAGGAACCAGGAAAACCCGGCAGGGATGGGCAGGGATGGGCAGGGACAATCACTGGCTGTCGAGTGTGACCCTGCACCGGACCGCGGCCAGCAGTGCCAGACCGTGGCCAGCAGCACCCAATCATGGCCAGCAGCACCCCACAAACCCAGTGCTCACCCCCTTCCCCTCAGGGGGTGCAGTGCCCACCATGTCTCCATCCTGGCCAGGGCGTGCAGCCACCCCAGGGCCTGTCCACTCCTGTCCCCTCTGTCCCAGGCCAGTCCCCAGCACCATGGGGTCTGTTCTGAGCCCCTGGGGTTCACCGGGGCAGCCGCCCCCACAGGCTCGAGCACTGCAGAGGGGGCTGGACGTTATCAAACCCGAGCATGAGAACACGAAATACACCCCCATCATCCTGAGCACCCACAAAAGAGACCCAAACACATTTGAGGCAAAACCCGGCTGTGTTCCTCGGTCCCAAGCACTGGAGGTGGGGTACAGCATTGATGTGGAGGTGGGGTTCAACATTTGCAAGGAGAAGGCAGCATGAGAGAGCTGCAGGTGATGAACCCTGCCCCAGACTCCCGTCATGTCCAATGTTGGACCTGAATCAGAGCTCATTCTCCTCTGTGGGACGTCTGGGATGACGGCTCTGGGGAGCAGGGGACAGGGAGAGCTCCCCTGGCCTGGAGGCTGCTGCTCTGACCACGTTTCGTGCAGTGAAAGGGGAACCGGGACTCACCGCAGGGACCTGAGCTCCAAGAATCTGCGTTGTCAGTGGGGGGATCTCAGGGAACTGCGACAGAGGAGAGAAATGTGGCATGTGTGAGAGTGGGGTCTGCAGCAGCAGCTGCTTCACTATCGAGGCTTTGACCCTCACTCAGGTTTACCCCTAAGACAGCAGAGACCCAAATAAATGGGGCAGCAGAGCCGTCGTGTGGGACCAGTTTGCAGGGTCTCGGGCCTCGGGTCCTCCCAAACCCACACTGCCCCTCACCATTCCAGTGGTGATGTCCATGTCCCCCTCCCAAACCCACGCTGCCCCTCACCATGCCCATGGTGATGTCCATGTCCAAGGCCTCCTCCGCCTCCAGCGCCGACAGCTCCAGGCTCAGGAAGTTGCTGGAGAGGCCGAGCTGGGAGGCGCTGGTGTCCGCCATGGGAGGCAGGGGAGGCACAGGGACCCCAGGTGGCACGGGGTCGGTTTCGGGCCTTCCCAGCGGGAAGCCCACCAGGCCCCCCGCCACCCTCCCGACAATGGCCTGGAGTGACGGGAAGGGAGCAGAGGCCAAAAGCGTTTGCAATATTTGCCTTCACGGTTAAGTGTGTTACGGTTCACTTGAGCGCCAAAGCCCTGCACGCACGACCGTGACACTTCCTCCTCCAGGATTCGGTGCCACGCAAACCCCTGAGCTCTCCCGTGACGGCGGTGGCGCCGCGCCGGGAACCCTCCATCTTTTCACGGGGACCTCCAAACCCACAGCTCGGGTGTGCGTGGCCCAAGGACACCCCCCCTCAAACCGCGGTGAAACGTCCCAGCCCTCACGTGTAGAAGGAGATGCAGGACTCACGTTGAGGTCCAGCTGCAGGAACTGGCCGGTGACCAGGGGAAGGCTGGACACGGTGTACTGGACACTGCCCAGCACGCCCAGTGGCACCAGTGCTGGGGAGAGGAGGGGGGTCAGCGCATGGACAGCCCCCTCTTGTCGCCACCCTTATGGACCTGGGGTCCTTCTGGCCATGGTTGAAGATGGGGACAGGGGAGATGTGGGGGGAGGCAGCGCTGGGGCACCGCTCCCCAGGGGTGATGGGGTCTGGGCATGGACCTGCCAGGGGTCCCTGCTCCCAGCACAGGGGATTTGGAGTGGGGGGCTTGCTCTTCCCCCCTGGGGTGCGGTAGCGGAGGGGAAGTGTCACAGCCTGGAGCAGAGGTGACACAGGGGGGACAGGGTGTGGGACCCAATGGGTACTCACAGTTCACCAGGCCCAGTTGGTCATTGATGAGTCCCAGGGCGACATCGACCACAGGGCAGAGCTGCAAGAGCCGGGAGGGATGGTGAAGAGATGGGAGTGGATGGGGAGGAGATGGGGAGGACATGAGGAGCAGATGGGGAGCAGATGGGGAGCAGACAGGGAGCACCCCAGCAGGAGACACAGACAAGGACACACGGTCCAGCTCAGCTCCGGGGACAGAGGTGCCACCGGTGCCACCGCGGTGCTGCTGGGGCTGCGCCAGCTCCACACTCGGCCCTGGCCACCTCAAACCTCCTTGGATAGGCAGGGTCAGGTTCCAGGAGCCCATGTAGGATGGTTGGGAGGGAGGAGAGCCCATAACGGGGTCCAGGACATCCTCAGAGCTCCCGGCTGCTTGGGCAGTCCTGAGCAGGCCCCGCTGGCCTTGCATTTGGGAGGAGGGAGCAGCCTCTCCAAACAGATGGAGATGTGGTGTATGTATCCCCCCCAACCCCAAACCATGGGACAGCGGTGCCGCGGGGAGCTGCACCACAGCTTTCCAAACTCAGGGCTCCTTTGCAGGGCGGAGATTTGGGGTTTTTTTCCAACTTACCAGGTCAGGGAGAAGCCCGTTCAGGACACGCGCCAGTAAATGATCCGCGATCGGGAGCAGGCTGTGGAAACAGAAAGGAGCACGGTGAACAAGGACAGACCTGCTGCACAGTCCCTGGGTCTTGTTCAGCAGCTCCCCAGAGCGGAGCGTGGCGCAGAGCTCCCGGAGCACGGCCATCACCGCAGCAAAGCACATGGGTTCTGCGTGAGACGGGTGTCGTTTGCATCCCAAAACAGCCAGGGGGAAATTTAGTGCTGCCTTTTATCTACTGCTGTGTATGGGTGAGCAGGAACAGCCTCAGCCCGAGTGCTTTCTATGACTTATGGACTAAACGCTCACAGCTCAGAAGATCCCATGCAATATTGGGTGAAATGACCCACGAACGTGGTGCATGGGACAGCAATGGGACAGCAATGGGACCACACGTCCCTTCACCTCAGCTGCACGAGGGGCATATGGGAACCACCACCCATTGCTCACCCCGTGACAAAGCCGATGATGGGACGGTGGCCACTGGTGTCACAGTCACACGGGACGGAGACGTGATGGGGCAATGCTTGCTGTGCTGGCTGGGGACCAGCCAAATGTGGGGGACACCTCCATCACTCACTCTCGCAGGAGCCTGACTTTGACACCACCCAGGAGGGTGTTGCACGTCTCCGTCACCAGCCCGGGGCAGCCGGTGTGGTCCATGGTCAGCCTGGCCCTCGCCGTGACGTTCACCTCGGCCGCGACGTCCAGCAGACCCAGAAGGCTGTGAGGGGAAGGTAGCGGGAGCCACGTCCTCCCCCGGTGACGCCCCCGTGGCGGTGATGCCACCACCGATGCCACCATCCCCACCTACCACTTGCCGTTGAGGGCCACCCGCGTGTAGAGGTTGAGGTGGAGGCCGATGCCGGGCAGGAGCCGCAGGGAGACCCGGGGCAGTGTCAGCTCCACCACCCTCAGCCTGTGGGGACAGCGAGGGAACACCATGGGGGTTTTTCCAGTTTCACCAGCCCATGTGCCTCATTTTTGCTTGTGCTTGGGGCTGGGCTTCAGAGAAGAGTTAACACTGGCAAAGGAGCGAGCGTTGGCTTGGCACTGGCTGCCACCGTGCGGTTGGGTGCTCCCTCTGTGGGCAAGCACCTCTCGCCCGCTCCGTCCTTTAATTTCCCTGGTGCAACCCAAGAGCTCTTTCGTGCCAGAAATGCAGACCTAGGGGTGTCCAGGCATTGCTGATCTCAAAGCATCAGCTCCAAACCAGAGCTGAGCATCCCCACTGCCCCCCTAGAGAGCACCAGGGTTATCTCCACCCCGCAAGGACCCGGGGTGCCGCCTTTACCCGGTGAGGCCCTGCACGGTGCTGAGCAGGCCGCTGTCACCGAGGACGCCGAGCAGACCCACTGTCCCCCAGCAGCCCCCCTCTGCCGAGCAGACCCCCAGGGCTGCCCAGGAGACCCCCATCACCGAGCAGACCC